CAGTGTGTGATGGCCCCTCTGTGCAGCGGCTGGCTCCCTCCAGCATACCACCGGACCACCAGGCGATCTCCCCCCTCCCTGACAAGGTAAGAAGCAGGGAGGGGGGAATAAAATAAAAAAAAAATATACATACACATAAAGTTAAAAAAATTTTTCCCCCCCATCATCCAGCACTCACACACCCATCATCCAGCACACACACACCCATCATCCAGCACTCACACACACATCATCCAGCACTCACACCCATCATCCAGCACACACACACCCATCATCCAGCACTCACACACACATCATCCAGCACACACACCCATCATTCAGCACTCACACACCCATCATCCAGCACACACACACCCATCATCCAGCACACACACACCCATCATCCAGCACTCACACACACCCATCATCCAGCACTCACTCACACACCCATCATCCAGCACACACACACCCATCATCCAGCACTCACACACACCCATCATCCAGCACACACACACCCATCATCCAGCACTCACACACCCATCATCCAGCACTCACACACCCATCATCCAGCACACACACACCCATCATCCAGCACTCACACACCCATCATCCAGCACACACACACCCATCATCCAGCACTCTCACACCCATCATCCAGCACTCACACACACATCATCCAGCACTCACACACCCATCATCCAGCACTCACACACACATCATCCAGCACACACACACATCATCCAGCACTCACACACACACGTCACCCAGCGCGCACACACACATCATCCAGCACACGCACACACTGCATTCATTATACACACTCTTCACTCACTACAAACACACTACATTCACTATACTCTGCATTCATTATGCACATTCTGCACTAACTACACACTACATTCACTATACACACTCTACATTCACTACAAACACACTACATACACTGCATTCATTGTACACACTCTGCACTCACTACAAACACACTAAATTCATTATACACACTCTGCACTCACTACATTCACTATACACACTGCACTCACTACAAATACACTACATTTATTATACACACTGCACTCCCTACAAATACACTACATTCATTATACACACTCTGCACTCACTAAAAACACACTGCATTCATTATACACACTCTGCACTCACTACAAATACACTACAATTATTATTCACACTGCATTCACTACAAACACACTACATTCATTATACACGCACTGCACTATATGCATAGGAGTGTAATTTTTTTTTTTTTTAATGGGGGGAGTGGAGAGACGGGTATCTTGGGTGAGTTCCCACACTTTTTTCCCCAGGACTTGACCCCTGTCTATATAGAAATATATGTAATCAAATCCTTCATAGAAAACAAAAATATCTTGTTTATTAGAATTACTGTCTCCTAATTAATAGATGTAATGATAGCAATGTTAGCCAGAGTGTGTTCAAAAAGGTTACCGGTTAGAACTATAAAGCAGATATATGTGACAGAGTGCTGCACCAGTTCGAATACTGAAATAGGATACTGATCAGGTGTAACAATGTACCGTATACCAAAACAACAAATTGAAAAGTAACAGTCACACTTATATTAGTAACAACATATTCAATTGAATAATACTTAGCCCAATGCAAACGCTCTTAAACAAAAGAATAATAAATAATTATAGAGTGGTTCTGTTTGTATATGGTCAGTGCTCACTCTTAAAGGAACACTATAACGTTGGGAATACAGCACTGTACTCTTAACGCTACAACATCCCTCTGACATTAAAGCTATTGCCCCGTCCTCCCAACCTGGTGACATCGGCAATGGAAAAAATCCCAATGTGCATGTGTGATGTGCATTAGGCCTTACCCATAGGAAAGCATTGAATCAATGTTTTCTCTCTTCTTTTTTGGGGTAAATAGTTTTTTTCTATTAATTTTCTTCTGTCTTTCCCCTTCCTACTTCGCTTCTTTCCTCTATATATATATAAAATTTTACACAGCTTACTCTATTTGATTGCCTATTATGCAATCCTAATTTTGAACTAGAGAGTATTTAGAGAGCATTGGTGGAGTGCTTAATAGTACACTCACTTTAAATGCCCTGGCTTTCTCTTATGGTATTCGTTTATATAAACTTCAGTCTCTCTCAATCAACCTTTGGTTTTTCCCTTATTTTCTATCGAATATTATTCCAGCATAGATACTGAATACTGAACTGAACAATATTGAACTGAATACTTCCAATTAATTACCATACAGGCCTGTGTGGATTTTGGTGTGAACTTCAGCCTCTTTTCAGGACTTCTATAATGCAGACTGCTACCCTTTTCTCAGTATTTCTCTCCCTCCAGACGCTGTTCTCCTCGTACCTCTTAGCGGGGCTTCGTTGTAGGACCCGGACCAGGTCTCTCGTTTAATCACACAAGTCTTTATTGGTAGCTGGAGATTGTGGTTTAACAAACTTTTGTTGTGTTGTAACAACTCTGTTTCAGTATCATCCAACCGCCAGACGCTCGTTTCTTGTGGCTCAATACTGGGCAAGCCTCTTGCCGAGCGATGCATACTAGGTCCATACATCTTCGCTCCACCCTCTAATGGCTATCTTAGTCAACCAGACCACTTAATCTTATTGAGGTGATCTGGGTGCAGTGTCCCTGTCCCCCTTAGTCCTGCAATGTTCTTTAAAACTGCAATAATAACATTGCAAGACTAAGACTGCCTCCAGTGACGGTCTACCACTGAGCATTAGAGTGTGCATGAGCAGTTAGAATGCATATGCAACCTGTGTGCTCGTTCCTTCAGCAACTTCGACCAATCTTGTCTGAACACTGCAGCATTCCAAGTCGGACAACCCTGTTTTTTTTTTAACCACCTGGGTATAAAAGACCAAAATTAAGCAGCAGCTTCTTTATAAAGATTTTATAGTCCTATATTGTATTATGCTGACAATGCATGACACTCCATCTTTGTATTTTAAATTAATTTACATTTTTAAAGCTTACCCAGAGGTGTATTAAGACATACAAATTGTAGATCAAACCAGAAATTTTCCACATCCTGAACACTTTCCAATTTATAACATCTCTTCTCAAAAGGATTACTTGCTTGAGCATGGTTGTAGTGTGGATCACAGGCAGTCGTATCAACAACTGTTGCTTTTTTCTTTACATACACAAACACCTAGAGGGGAAAATTAGAAATAGTTTCTGAATTTAAAATAAATAAATCACATGACATTAAAGAACAAACTGGGATGCAGATGGACCTGTGAACATATAAGCTTGATGTAAAATTGTAAAAAAAAAAAAAAATGGATGCTAAAAGCAGAAAAACACACTTTTTCATTGAATACAGTTTTTCTTATAATTAAAGATTTTCAGGTAATTTGATTAAAAAGGGGATGGTTACGGTCAACACATCTAAACCATCAATATGACATCCACATATCTTCATCTAAAAGGTATGTAAAAACTAGTGATGCTTTGTTTGCATGTTTTGCTCATCGTCTTATGATAACAAGCCCCAAAAAAAAAAAGATTAGGAGAACTCAGATACTGTCACATTGTGCAGCAGAGAATCAAGTTAGGCAGTTCAATGAACAAGGCACTTCAATTGACAACAGTGGAGACATGTGATTGATGCTATATGAGCAAGAATCCCGAGATAAATAGGAATCTCTGTCAAAGACTAAATCCCACTAGAAAGCCTGCTGAGGGATCATGCACCTCGAAATTGAAAGAATCAATACTTAACCCCTTCAGGACGGAGTCCATAGTACATGTTCTGATCAAAACAAAATGTAATGGAATTTGCGCTATATGTCTGTTCAACCGTAATTCACCTCTTTCATATTAAGCGCACCCACACTTACTATACATAATTTTGTTCAGGAGAAACAGGGCTTTAATTTCTATTCATATATGAAACATAATTTATTATGAATAAAATAAAAAAAAAAGCTGTGAGAAATGTAATTTTTTTTTTTTAATTTGTAGTTCCGCCTCACATTTTAGCTGTAAATGTCATACTACTGTTAGCTTTTCCAGCAAAAAAAAAAAAAAAAGCACATAGTTGGATTCAGCAAAGTCTCACGAGTACAACAGTAGCTCCCAGTAGCCCCCATGTTTTGGAAAGTTAAAGGGTCAAATATAGCACGTTCCATTTTTCAGTTTTTCCAAATTCAAATTTGCCAGATTAGTAATATTACCTTTGAGACCGTGTGGTAGCCCAGGAATGAGATTTACCCCCGTGATGGCATACCAATTGCAAAAGTAGACTACCCAAAGTTTTGCAAGTGGGTTATGTCTTTTGTAGTAGCCACTTAGTCAAACACTGGCCAGAGTTAGCATTCAAATTTGTTTTTGTGTGAAAAAAAGCAAAAAACAAATATTTGGCCAGTGTTTGTGAATAAGTGGCTACTAAAAATGACTGTACATACCCCATTTGCAATACCTTGGGTTGTCTACTTTTGCAAATGGTATGCCATCATGGGGGTAATTCTTATTACTGGGCTACAATACGGTCTCAAAAGGCAACATAACCAATCTGGCAAGTTTCAATGTGAAAAAAATGAAATGCAAGGATTATATTTGACTCTCTAACTTTCCAAAACACCATAAAAACTGTACATGGGGGTACTGCTATACTTGGGAGACTTCACTGAACACAAAAACAAGTGTTTTAAAGCAGTAAAACATATTACAACAATAATATCGTCAGTAAAAGGGCCGTTTGTGTGTAAAAAAATGCAAGAAACGTCACTTTTACTAAAAATATCATTGTTGTAATACAAGTTACCATTTTGAAACACTAATATTTGTTTTCAGCAAAGTCTCCCGAGTAAAACAGTACCCCCCATATACAGGTTTTAGGGTGTTTTGGAAAGTTACAGGGTTAAATATAGATTCAAATTCTCTTCACTTTCTGCCTGGGTTGTCAGGCATGTCAATCAAATTTTAATTAATTAAATCACATAATTATGTAAAAATATTACTTAAATATACACATAGAAAATATATATTTATTTATTTATTTGCGGTTATTTGTATTTTATATATAGATATAGAATGTCCTTCTAAGTGTATTTTGTTACCAATATATAAATATATTAATAACAAAATACAGTTAGAATGAAATTACATATGTATATATAAATTATTTGAATTTTTTTAAAAAATATTTTAGTATTTTATTTATTATTGTAATTATGCATGTATATATAAATATAAAATATATACAGATGTATTATATAATATATATAACATCATTCGAAGTGTATTTTAATACACATATATATATATATATATATATATATATATATATATATATATATACACACACACACACACACACATATATATATTAGCATTAAAATACACTATGTATGACATTATTTAAAAAATATTTTATATTATATATATTAAATTTATTTGAAACCAGTTTCTATAATTTTTCTTTTTACATTTCCCACCAGCAGGAGGACTGTCTGACATTTCAGACAGTGCCCCTGCTGGCAGATCCACAGCTATAGGGGGCCAGATTTGCCGTGGGTAAATTTTACCTCCTGGGGGCTTAAGCTGTTACGGCGTTCTATGCCACCGCAACGGCTTTAAAGCCAATTTAAATGGGGACAACATAGAACGTCGTAACAGCGTTAAGGGGTTAAAGAAGAACAGTAATGGTTGGCTCTGTGGGTCCAAATGTGCAACAGACAATATGCAAGGCAAGACCCGGATCAGCAGGCAAATGTAGAATTGTGCTGGGCACCAGAAAAGCAAGAACCAGGTATCTGTGCAATATACACAATGAGAGCATATTTGCAAAGGCACCTGGATGGTTGAGTTCTAAGTTTGTTGTTTGGTTAACCAGTAACACCAAAGATATTTCAGGAAAGAAAAATAAGTAACTACAAGCATCCTAGTTTCTGACAGTCTGTAGTGTGATAGTTAACAAAAAATACATTTAAATCCTTTTGTATCTCTGCATGCGGCAACTTACTCAAGAAAGTATTCCATTCTTTCTTTCCCTCCAGAGCTCGAATAGTCATAATATTACCTAGAGTTTTAGAAGTTTTCATGGACAGAGTGGTTGAGTGGTGGACAGATTCAAAGCCCTGAAAGTTTTCACACACAGATAAATGTTTAGCAATCACAATCCTAACATCTAGTGGGGGATCTGATGCCCAACTTTGTTCAAGTCTTTTCACAGTGAAAAACACGGCTAATTTCTTATGGTAATTGTGTATCTCAAAGCTTAGTATCTTCATGTGTTTTTGATTCATGGTGGATTGGCAGGTAAGTGTTTTGTCTTTGCTGGCCAAAACAAAAACGAGAGAAGTGACGCAACTATTATTATTATTGCTGCCATTTATATAGTGCCAACAGATTCCGTAGCGCTTTACAATATTATTAGAGGAGGGATTTAACTATAAATAGGACCATTACAAGAAAATTTACAGGAATGATAGGGTGAAGAGGGTCCTGCTCAAACTAGCTTACAGTCTATAGGAGGTGGGGTATAAAACACATTAGGGCAGGAAATAGCAATCAAATAAGGTGGGCGGTGAAGTAGAGCTGGACAAGAGAGTACAGTGCTGTCCTTTAGAAGAGAGCAAGAGGGAGGTATGTGAGGTAGAGGTTAGTCTGGGAGGCCATAAGTTTCCTAAAGAAATGGGTCTTAAGGCACTTCTTAAATGTTTGGAGAGTCTGATAGTGGTAGGCAGGCTGTTCCAGAGGAAGGGAGCCACACGCGAGAAGTCCTGCAAGCGTGAGTTGGCCGTATAGGTGCGAGCAGTGGACAGGAGAAGGTCACGGGCAGAGTGGAGAGACAGAGAAGGGCATACCTATGGATCTGTGAGGAGATATAAGAGGGGCTAGGATTGTTCAGTGCTTTATAGGTATGGGTAAGCACTTTGAATTGACTCCTATAGGATACAGGGAGCCAATGTAAGGACTGGCAGAGGGGTGAGGTGTGAGAGGACCAACTGGAGAGGAAAATCAGTCTGGTGGCAGCATTCATTACAGACTGTAGCAGGGCAAGATGGCTATTGGGAAGACCAATTAGGAGAGAGTTACAATAGTCCATGCAAGAGATTACTAGAGCATGGACAAGCTCTTTATTAGCATCTTGTGTAAGAAAGGGGCGGATGCGGGCGATGTTTTTAAGGTGGAATTGGCATGATTTGACAACAGACCGGATGTGAGGCTCATAGGTGAGGCCAGAATCAAAAGAAAACATGCTTGTAAGGATGGGCTGATATGGGTACCACCAATTTGAAGGGAGAGAGAGAGGAGGATTAATATTAGGAGGAGGAAAGAAAAGAAGTTCTGTTTTGGAAAGACTGAGTTTCAGAAAGCGTGAGGACATCCAATTAGAGATAGAAGAAAGGCAAGAGGTTGCAAGACATCAGGGGAGAGGTCCGGGGAGGAGAGATATCTGGGTGTCATCAGCGTACAGGTGGTATTGGAATCCAAATGAGGTAATAAGTTTGAGAGGCAGTATAAAGAGAAAATTGAAGGGGACCAAGGGGGACTCCAAATGAGACAGGACAAAGGGTGGAGGTATCATTAGGAAAAGAGACACTGAATGAGCGTTGGGTGAGATCGGAGGAAAACCACGAGAGGACAGAGTCACAGAGACCGAGTGAATGAAGAGTTTGGAGAAGGAGAACTTGATCAACTATGTCAAGGGCAGCAGAGAGGTCAAGAAGAATTAGTATGGAATAGTGACCTTTGGATTTAGCTGTGATAATGTTGTCAATGACTTTTATAAGGGCAGTCTGAGTAGAGTGGAGTGGAGGAGGCGGAAGCAGGACTGAAGAGGGTCAAGGAAAGAGTTGGAGTTGAGGAAGCAGGTCAGATAGGTAGAGCTTTCAAGAAGCTTTGAGGAAAAAGGGAGCAGGGATATATGACAATAGTTTGAAGGGGAGGATGGGTCAAGACTTGTTTTTTTGTTTTTTTTTTAAGATGGGTACTACAGTAGCATGTTGAGGGACAACAGGGACAGTGCCAGAAGAAAGAGAGCAGTTGAAGATGTGTGTTAAGGAGTGCACAAGAGGAGAGAGATCTGATAAGGTGAGACGGTACAGTTTTAAGCGGGCAAGTGGTGGGGCGAGAGGAAAGGAGAAACAAAGCGACCTCTTGTTCAGTAGTCTGGGAGAAGGTCGGAAGGGTTGGAGAGGCAT